TGCTATTAGTCTATATTTGATCCATATAAATACTTTTGAGCTTTGACCTTTTTATTCATAGAGATGGCATTATTGTTTTAAGAGCGCAATAACATTGTTCAAAACAAATTTTAAATCATATTTTATTTTATCTTAGGTAATTGATTGTTTGATAATCTTGTGTTGTTTGACATTTTCAATCGAGAATAATTTGAATGTATTGGATTAATTTGCCATTTTTGTTTAATAAAAATGCTAAAAATCGAATTTGAAATAAGAACTCAATAATTTTCTAAATATTAGTTTAAACAGTTTTGATAAATTAAGATTTATAAATACAAATATTATAATTGAACATAATTACAAATTATTTTATTTATTTATCTAAATATGCAAATTACATTTTGATAGGAAATTTTTGATTAATGAAATATTTTATAATGTTTTGCTAAGAAAATAGTAATTCTAATCGCAAATTCGAGGAATAGCGCTAAGAAGCGAGAAACTTAAATTATGATAGTTTACATAACTAACTTTTGCAATTTGGAGTTTTGAACGTAACAAGCAGCTCTTTAATCCGTTCATTATAAAGTTCCAATATTGCTACACATGACATTATCGATATATTACTTGGTTTGAAGCAGAAATCATCTAAGTAGAAATTGATTAAATATATAGAACATTTATGTATATATCGGATAATCGAGAACATTTCATTATCATTCATTCATTATTTCATTATTATTCATTTCATTATTTTACATTTTATGCGTTATTGTTTAAATCGGTAATGGATTGAATTAATTTATGAGAAAATGATGTAATTTAAACGATTTAATCCTTTTAACTGCTTCATTAGTACACAATTTTGTATAATGCCATCCGTAGCAAAATATAACGCGATATTTTACATTAATGTTTTCATAAAAATATTTATTCTTATAACAAACAAAAGATTATAAGAAAATTGAGATATAAGTTAATGACTCTAATATATTTCAAGGATTATCATTATTACTACTAACTAAATTCGACCATCACCATAATAAAAATTGTGAAGTTATCAAACAAATTTTTAATTTGAAAAATAATTTAACAAGAAAAATTTATTACATTAATAATCTATAAAATTTTAATAAATTTAAAAGATAAAATAAATTTTTTATTTTAAAAGGTTTTAAATGTAATATTTAATATTACATTTCATTTTTTATTGTTATTTAAAATTATATATATTTATAAAATAAGTTCTTTGATTATAATTCTAAATCTTTTTAATGATTTCCGATTATGTTTAAATTTGTCATTTTCTTTGACTATTTTGCCTATAGTAAATGGGTGACTGGCAATTTGCGCCAAGCATAATAATTGTTTAGCCGCTTCTTAGAATACGCCCACGTTATCTCAAATCCATTAACGATCGGTATGACGCTCGTTAACTGCGTTGGCGACAGAAAGTCGATAGTTAATTACGCAAATGAAGGGATCTCGTTAACAGCCACGGCGAACACGACTACGATAGATCGTTAAGTAACGTGCCCACCTATTGAATCGCCGTTGAAAATGCATAGATCACTGCATGTGAATCCTTGATGCATCCCTCTTTAAATCTCGAATGCAATCGCATTAGATTGCGTTTGGCTTTTAAATCGAATAATAACTTTCATCCTTTTATCCACAACGTTTTCACGAACGCTTATGGAATGACTGTCGAAAGCGAAATACAATCTGATGTAATATCGAAGTGCAGTTTACACTTGCTATTAATTGGATTTTATCTATCATTCTTCAATAAATTTTTAATTTTTAAATAAAAAAAAGATTGCGCAGAAATATGTTTGGACTTTTTGATTTCAGAAAATTACATTCTTTTAAAGATTTTATTTTTATTTTCTAATCTTGGCACTTATACTTTCTAATGCATTTTTAATTGAAAATATTTAGCACAATATATTTAACATTAAATATTCAAATTTTGATAAAATTATTCATTCTCACTTTGATTTTTATATTTTCTAAGAACGAAGAACTTGAAAAACTTGAAAAAAAATAACGATTTTTCTAAAACAATAAAATTGTTGTCTGAAGATTAGTTTAATTAATAAAAATTAAAATAGCTTATGCATTATTTGAATATTTAAGTAACAAATTAATGTTGATTAGGCATTACGTAAGCTCATTACATAATCGATTGATAGACGATAGGTAATTGTATCAGATTTAATGGCTAATTAAATGTGGCATATGACATGTGTCACGTGCAGGTGACAGGCCATGAGACGTCACGAAATTATCGTCGGTACTCTCGCGAAAACGACAGAGCCAAAGAAAGGTAGCGTCAAGTCGGGAATGCACGGTAAAGATGAAGAGTCGGCGTGAATGGAATATTTTGGGTCACGACATACCGAGAAACGATCCATTCACTGCAATAGGCGACAATTATGATTCCTTACGTGAATATAATTATTCGCGCCGTGAGTGCGGTTCGCCTCAATTAATTGCTCTTCGCAATGAGCAATTGCTGGATGATGAGCAGCGACATTTTCTCGATGCAGCTAACTGCAACGATTAAAAGAGGGATGAAAGGAGTACTTCTATTCAGCTATCGAGCCAAGTCCTCACGTTGATGCTATCTCGCGTTATTATCGTGGAAGAAATTACGAATGTGAAAATACGCAAGAACCCGAAATTGTTTTAAGGAATTAAATTGAAGAGTTTTATTCCTGAACTCTTTATTTACAGATTTTGGCATTTTATTTTATTATTATTATAACATCGAAATATAAATCTAAAGAATTCGATATCAAGTTTATCAAATGATTCTCTCAAGTGAATTTGTAAGAGAGAGAAAGAAAGAGAAAGTGAATTTATCATAATACCTATCTTAATTTTATCAGATTCTTATACGTTTCAATTAGAAAACTTTCGCGTCCGATATAATTTAATTAAATTTTATGGCGAATTGAGCTAAAAGTTCCATCTAATTTCTTCGTTATTAAATTTTAATTAATAATTGTATTTACTGAGGAATCTGAATTCAGCATAGCACTTGAGAGGAAAATTTTACTTTAAAGATTGAGACATAAGAATGAAAGGAAGAAGCTTTCTTTTCTATAATTTCTATTTTCACGGTATGAAAAACTTAAACACCAACAATTAACAACAATAATAGTTATCTTTCTGCTATCTCTAATTTTCTTTTTACATTCTTCACTACTGAGATAATATTATTAAATGCAATAACATGTAATCTATAACATAAAATATCATAAAATGTTTTTATATTTTGTATCTTGATTATAAAATAATAATTATGTATTTTTTTTTAATCAAAAGCGATAAAAAAATTCTTATTTTTCTCTACAGATTCTTTTTCAGAAATTACTTATAATTTTTTATTTTGCGATCGTGACATATATTTAGAATGAATTGATTATTTAGATCGCTTTACAGTGATCTAATAATCAATTATTCGCCTTTAATTATTCAGAATTATATTTAAAATGATTTAATTAGTTACTTGGTAATAATTATTGATGATAATTTAATTATTTGCTCAAAAGTTATCTTTACTCTCGTCATTTATTCACATCATTATTATTGCTTATGGAATAATATAAATAATGGATTATTCTTTTATTATTCTTTTATTATTCTAAACGAGATGTATATAAATTGCAGCAAAAAAATAATTTGAATTTTTAAAATTATTTTAGTATTTGTATATTGTTTATTAGATATATAAATATTTTTTATTTCAAGTGTACATTTTACAAATTTCGCCTTTGTCACTCTTGATTTCATTTGTTTTATTGCATTTTATTTCTGTATTGCAGTATTGTGACTGTTGATCTCTCTCTACGCTGAGGAAATTTGTGATCGCTGCATGTAGATCTTCAAATAAAAAAACTTGTGCAAGGATGACTCGGATAATTTTATAAGAACAAGCAATTGTAATATAACTGAAAGGTACTGAGATAAAACACAAGTATAAATGACGAACTTTAGTCTTATAACACTGATAAATTTTAACATATATAAGTAAACATTTCACGGCACCTTGTACACTCATATTTATTTAAGCAATATTTCATACACTTCTTTCGATCGTTAGATCTTAAAGTATATTTATAATTTATAATTTAATTCGTACTTTACATTTTTAAAGATACTAAATGTTATTTAATTAGAATAATTACACAAGTTTATTTAAATTTTGAGATAGATTCTTGTTTTATATAAATTTGTATATTTTTATTGTACTCTAACTCTTAAATCTTCTTTTAATCTTTATGTTAATCTTTACAATTAATAGTTACATTTTCTACCCAAAGTTATAGACGTTTTGAATTTACTTAAGCAGTCATATATAATTACGTTATAAGTTGATAAATCAACTCAATTTATTAGTAGACCAGATAGTAGTGGTCTGCAGTAGTAATACTCCGTTATGTGTCAGACAATACGCGTCATTAACTCACCGCAAAACTGTTAAATTTAGTTACTAGATAGAACAGATATTAATTTTATTAATTTTATTAATGATATTATTTTTAATAGCAATCTTTTTCACATTGTTATTTCTTTATTTTTAAAAAATATTTTTTAATAATTTTAATTTCTAAGTTTTCCTTTTAATTAAATATTTCTTTCTAATCTTATTATTAGAAGTGATACAAACATCTCTTAATTAAACATTAAAAATTTTATGTAAAATGACAGTATGAGAAATATGTATATAGTCATAACGCATATTTTTTTATATATTAATTAGGTGGAAATATAATTATTATAAACCTAATTTCTAAGTTTCTAATTTTGGTATATCATTATAAATACGGACATGATAAAGGTGAGTAATTCGTATATATTTAGCTAATTAAAATATTGCAAATCTAAAATTAGATCTAAAAGTAGAAAGTTTTGCTAAAATATATTATTTCTTATCTTAATAAAATTTCAATACAATTATATATTATGATTTTTTAATAAAATATGAATAATATAAATTAATCGATATGTCTACAAAAAATAAAAGATACATTAAATATTTCTGACATGTCTTACTTATTTAGCTAAGCTTTTCATAAGGTAGTTTTAATAATTTGTTATATTATTTTACTGTGTCTTGTAATTTGAACACAGATTGGTTTATTTTCTTTTTATCACAATCTATTAGATTATGCTTAATAAACTGGCGGATTTAATTCTGCTTTTACTAAATTCTTTTATTGTGCCCCCATATGATATTATGCAAGATATTTTTCGTTAGCTTGTTTTAACAAATTTATTACCGCATCTCTCGTTGTATTTTTTTCATTCATAATAATTTGTAAAAGCATATTCGACTCTCGTCGGGTCGGGCATGCGTCTTGCCGAGTTACATTACAGGAAGGTGCTCCAATAGACGACATTAAGAATGAAGAACGAGAAAGGGAAGAAGAATCTGGAAACCTTGTCGATGTAAATGGCGGTGGCTCGTCCTTGGCAGCAATGCTCATACTGAACCGTTGGTGGCCTCGTTGGACTTCTATTTCTTTCAGCGTCCGGTCTCATCGGTGTCTATGAGAAATGAATAAAAATACATCACGCAAAATAACTTGAACATAATAAAGAAAATTATTCTGTGGATTCAATTTATTTCTTCTCTTTTCATTATTTTATTAAGATTGCATTGTGAGGTAAGTAAATTTATATTTACCTGCAGTGATTAATTACTAGATAAAGAACATAATAATATACACATCAGTTTGTAATAATTAACATATCTAGTATATAAAAACTAATTCGATTTGTTAAATTAAATAAGAATTTTTATTGTTTTTAAACAAATAAGATTCATATTTTTCAATTTTATACGTATTATATTTTTATAGATATTTGTGTAATGCAATAAATATTTATTATAATTTAATGTAAAGAAATAATTGTATGCTTTTGACAAAATTTAAAATAACATAAGATTTCTACTCGCTTATACAAAAATATATTGACAAATTAGAGACAAGAGATATCATAATTACAAAAATTGTACTTAATTGCGTGAAACATAACTTTTGCTTACCAACTATTAAAGAAAGACGATATTTATTTCGCGCACGAACGTTTTATCGTTGTAAAGCAAGCAAGAGTAAATACTGCAATAGTACGAGCAAATATTACGTGCGATGGATGTAATGAAAACGGGATGCGTTCTATGTGTAGTACGCGGAAAACTGCAAAGTCTGCGTAAACTACACGGAAGAAAGGAGAAAATAAATATTTCTCTGCGAATCGAGTGTGGGACGAATGCATGCAATAAAATCAAACTTGAACTTGTTCAAGAGGGAAGGGAAAGTTACTTGCAATACGATACGATGAATAGTCTAGGCAAGTGATTGTGCTTCAAGTAGCAGTACTTTGTCATACTTTCCGCCGTCGAGGGTTTTTATTGTATAACACTCGAATTTAGAAATGAACGTTTCTTCAGAAACCGATCATATAAATTTTCACGAGGTCAGTTCTTTGTTTGGAAAAAGAATGATTATAAAAGAAAGCGTAGCGCAAAATTAAAAAATTTTCCGTGTTGTAAAACTGCACAGGCACGTAACATTTTCTCTCTTTTTTGTCAAACAACGTGACATAATTTTATTATGCGTTCCAATAACTTTCACGATCTCACGAATGTCGATATTCATAACGGTCACGGTTTACAATGCAGTGTCTTTTATTTCTTGGTATTTTTGTTCAATTGAACGATATCGCAGATAGGACTCGAAATCGAATTATTCATTCGCCGTAAATATCGCATTGTGCTTTTCTCCGTTTACCTTAAAATCGTCGATGGCCTCGCGAAGATCCTCGTCCGAGTATCCTTTCATAGCTTTCGTGGCGACTGGCCCCATATAATTATTCACTACTGCAAATTCCATGAGAGAGAGAAAGACGAACACGCTGCACGAAGACATCCACACGTCGATCGCCTTTACGTACGAGACCGGCGGCAGAGATTGCTGAGATTGCGTGTTCTGAGTGGCTGTAAGAGAGATATTAATCCTCAATTCTCTTTCTTACATGCGCAGTTACGTATACAATTGATGTAGTTAGCGTCTATCCCTATAAATCCACGTTGAATAACAGTGGCCTAATTATTGTCATTTTTGTTATAAATTTGATTTTATTTTATTTTAATTCCATTTTATTTTTATATATAAATATCGAGATTACTAATTTAAATATAGAATATTATGATATTTGTTTTAATAATCTTTTTTGTAATTGTAGATTTAAATTAGTATAAATAAATTTCAAATATAAGCTATTAATAATTTCAAATATAAATATAATTAGAATACTTATTTGTATCAAAGCATTTTTCATTATTATTGCACAAAAAATTATTGTTATCAGCTTTCAATTATTTATATTATATGATGATTTTTATTTTTTGTTCTCGAAACGAAAATCGGAATGTATTGCAGATAATTTCATTTTAGTTTACAATATGCGGAAAATCGAGGAAAATTAACTAACAGTTTCGCTGAAACAAAAGATTTGTTAAACCATTTGGTCTTAGTAAATTACAATTTAGTTGAAATTTATGCCGTCGTTATACCTGGACAAAGCGCTTTATCGTGATCGCAAATATCATGAATAGTTATATCACGAGCAATGGGAGGAGAGATGGCCTAACCGAGGGTCAGTAGTGACGTCACACCAAGGGTGACCCGTGCTGGGATGGCTTCCGGCTTGATCCAGAAGGCGATCCAGGACATGACGACGATCAGAGCGGATGGGATGTACGTGTGGAACAGATGATAACCCAGTCTCCGGCGCAGATTGAAGACAATCTGTATGCACGTGAAGTTTCCGGTCGAGTATTCGATCGTGCAGTCCGTCGTGTAGTTGTTCGATATGTCGAGTTGCGGCAGCTCGATTTCCGGATTAACTACAAGGGGATCCGTCATGTTCCATAGGAATATTAGGTCTTGAGTCGTGTGCGAAACTGAAAAAAAAAAATAATAATACTTAATAAATATTTGAATAATATTTAAGGAAAAGATAATAAATAATAATATTATAATATAAATAACTGCAAGATTGTATAAATAAATAAACGAGCCTTAATATTTTTACATAAAATATAAATATAAACATACTTGATATAAGTAATTTTTTCGAAGTGATAAAAATTACAGATGCAGACAGTAATGCAGCAACTAATGAATATTAATATATGCCTTTTTTTATATTATAGATAGGAAAAATGTTATGTTATCTATATGAGTTTGCAGAATATAACGTTGCAATTATTATACATAATTTATAAACCAATATCTATGATACTTACGGCTTTCGATCATCATCGAGCAAATTTGAGTGTCATGAGGATAGGACTCGAATTTCATTGCGCATGAGAGCACCAATGTCAATCTAAAACGAATATTGCCTTTCTTTTGATACAACTCACTAATCAAATTACATTTCAATTTCTAATACGAATATATATCACTTGAGCTATTTTCGCTGTGACAAACAATATTGAAGCTTTTCTATCTTTTTATTTCCGACGAAATATGCGCTCAGAACAAGGGAAATTAAACTCGTATTATTTTATTGGCAATAAAACTTGACAAACCGGTGACTACTCGTTCAGCCAACATGTAGATTAAAATCGCCAGGAGATAGAAATAAATACAACCAAGGTAGCCATAAACGAAAACGACGTATATCAATATAATGAAATATTTGAATATATTTCATACTAAGGTTTGTATCAGCTTTTCAATTGTTCATTTGTATCAAGCTTTCAATTGTTCAGTTTAAAACATTCTGATACTTGAATTAATCATAAAACTTGCCATATATATTGTAAAAATATCTCATTGAAAAACTACAAAGAAATTTACAAAGAAATTTATGAAATATCAAAAGCAATGTATACATCTGTCACTCGAGCAATTGAAATTCCAGTTAATAGCACCTTTTTTATCAAGACGCTAAGTTATAATAAATTGAACAAAACTTAATTTTTCTTCAAATTCTGATATGTAGTATCGGTATTTTAGTGTGATAATGTTTCGTGTGATTTTAGTTTCGATGAATTTGATAATAGTGTGATAGTAGTTTCGTTCATATATTTTAATAAGAAAGATGAAAAAAAGCTAATAAATTTCTCAAGGCACTATGGCGATTTTTCTTAAGTTACGTATGTGTAGTGTTAGTTGTAATATACTGGTTATCTTTTGTAATTCAAATAGAACTTAATTTATTAATTATCATTATTTGATTATCAAGAATTAATAATTGTTAATTAAATATAATTGTTTAATTAAACGTATTAATTTATTTATAACACGTCTTTCTATAAATAAATAAAATTCAAATAGCTATATTTATTATCGAATGCTCATCAATAATGTTTTACAGAAATTTTGTTCAAATTTATAGACTTACTTGGACATGTAAAGCAACGTCTTATCGTGATATAACCAGAGATAATGGTTTGGTATCGACATCTCATGGAAAGTAACTTTCTTCGCATTTTTGAAGAAGCAATCGGGTCTCCAGATATTGTGCAACCAGTCTACGTCAAGTATTCGGTACTCCTCGGACATGTTTTCTGGTAGCCGCAGTCTAGAATCCCGCCAACTCTGAGCGAGAAATATGTCGGCCACGTACGTCTGTCGCCGTGGAAAAATAACGTCAACAGATGCCGCGTTTCATATGCGACCGTATGCAGATGACATAATTATTCTCCTCTTCATATGAAAATAAAAGGTCCTTTAACTTGCACACTTTACAGATTACATCTCCATCATAAATTTTAAATCCACAAAATGTTTGAACAGTAATTTGCAAAATTTTGGAATTACGCTTGGATAATATTTAACACAAGATCAATATGTTTTTGTTAATTATAACGACGATAGAAAATTTATTCATAAAATAAATAATTTACTTAACCGTTTGGCCGTTTTTTTTTTAATGTAAAGCAATTTTATGTTATATTCATGTAGCATAATATATATTTCGATATTAAATATGAAAAAAGTAGCCTAGTAAAGTTTAAAATAGAAGTAACCAACGTGTAATATTTCGGCAGAATATTCTCGGGTAAATGAATTTTCCGGTGTGTTACTTATATCTCTCTTGCTCACCATCGATTCCTCATTTATCGAGTCCAGGCTGAGCACTGTCACGTGAAAATAAACGATAGTGGGTTGCCCAAGGAATTTCGGTGCTCTGTGCTTATCATACTGCTTCGGATTCAAAGGCAGGATGTCTCTCAGCGACAAGGAGGTTTCCTTTTTTCCATACTCATCAAAGTCCAGTTCTCTGAAGTATCAAAAGTACATACACTGTTGTACACTGTTAAATATGTTATCTTTAATATATATCACATTAAAATTTTGTATTCTCACAAAAATAACGAACTGAGTTGTAATTGGAGTTGGAATAATTACAACAAAAAAAAAAAAAAGAGAAGAGTCTAATGCAATTACAATTTGCAGTTTTGATCTTAACGCTTAAATAATAGGTTGACAGCGATATTGCTGGTACAGCGATTTTTATCGCAGCATCGATAATGCTCATAAATTATTCACAGATCACAAGAACTGAGCGGTCTGTTGACAGTTTCATTATTACAGAGTGGATGCTATTTTTCTCAACTGGACCGGCCATGTCGATACCACAATTGCTAACCGTATGACTTTCTTTGTTCAATTGGGATGTGATTGCAGCTATTGACTGAGCAACAACTGCATCGAGAAATACAGTTTATATAGGCACAATATACTCGTTATTAAATTACAACGCGTTTATAATCTGTACATGTCAACATTATTACAGTATAATGTATGATGCAATTTATGATGTAATAAATATCATGCAAGTATAATAAAATCTACTGGTATGCTTGTATATTTTATACGAGAATTTTGCTATTATTTACACTTAAATAATTTATCTGTCTTTTCTCTCACGGTTATTATTGAAAAGCTATTATATTTATGTATGTAATTATTACATAATTCTTCTGTCAAAGTCTTGGAATTTTTGAAATATAAAATTGTAATTTGTAAGCAAGATGAAGATATAGACGCATAACATTATTTTTATTGAAATTGTTAATCTTGAAATTATATGTAATACTTAAACTCTTTCATTTCAGTAAAGAAAGTATAAGTGGTATACTCACGGAAAATGCGAAGTAGTCATGTCAAATAGGATGTATAAGTAGCAGCATATGATGAGTAGAGAGTACTTCGTCATTCCTGAGAAGCGGGAGCAGGGAGTGAAGAAAGTGATATGATGTCCCAAAGAAAGAGCAGGGCATGCAATGAAGTATGCAGAGTACGTCATAAAGAATTCATCGACGCAGAGGGATCGATGAGATCGTTTTGAATTCACGAGCATCAAAGATGTCCCTACCTTTCTGTGAGCGGATGCGTTCGTTTCTTCAGTGTCACGCTGTGACGCGTATGAGTCTATTAATATTTTAAAATGATTGTAAAATTAATCATAACTTGACTGACTATATAAGAGCCTTGTATGTTTGTATTCATATGTTGATAAATAAGAATAATCTATCATCATATCTTCAAGACATATTCAAGACATATCTTCAATATGTCTTTACCTTATACAAGTTATAAAGTTATAAATAATATTTGTATTTATTGTAAATGGATATCTACTGGTAATTTAAATACATGTGGTTCGGTATAATATAAAATAATTTTGCTATATAATAAATTAATAAATTAATGGAAGATTTAACCTAGATTCATACTTAGAAAATTTTATATTGTTTGGAGTTATTGGAATTTTTTTGTTTTCTTATTAATACACAATTTAACATATTTTACAGACTATTTCCTGTGGTTTATTTATTTTTAAATTTTCGTGCTTTTTTATACAACGGTTTTCCGATCCAATTTTCTACTCACCAATCAACTGCACATTCTATAATTTGGAAATCTGGCGAATGCACTCGACAAAGATCGAACGGAAGTTGTTAACTGCTCGCCCGAACATCGGTTCCTTACAGATTAATGAACATTTGAATTACATCCAAACGTTATGTCTCACGAATAAAACCATTGACAATAAAACCATTGGACGTTGAAAATCTTGTGTCACGTTATTGATATTAATTATCGATTGCGATCTACGTGAATCTATTGAATCAACAGAAATCATTTTTATCCAAAATTATTTTTAATAATAATGTACTGAATACTTCAATTAATACATTCATTTTGAAATTTCTTAATGAGCTTTATCTATTTTTTATTAATATAACATTCTATAATTAAATTTAAGATTTATATTTGTAAAATTAGAAATTAATTCAAATCAAATTTGTTTAAAGAAATTCTATTGACGAATACATAACCGCACAATTAAAAACACAAGTTGATTTTTAAGTTGTTTTAAATCAGCTCTTTTTTTAAGAACAAAATTAAAATTGAATAAGAAAGCATATTTATAATTGTAAAATAATACATAATTAAAAATTAATTTTACATAAATATAGTTTTCAAAAATAATGGATCATGAAGTGTTTAAAGTGTATTGGATAAGCACACAGAAACATCATAATTGAAATAAATTTAAAAGATTAAAGAATCTGTCATCAAGAAGTATCTAAGAAAAACAAATTATTTTTTCAATTTTGTAAGATATTCTTTAAAAATTATAAATAAGATTACAAATCTCTGTACTTTGACTGAAGTTTTCTCTTGCGATTTTTGATAAAACACGTTGAAAAGATTGCCAATAGCTCAATGGCGTTCGATCCGCGATATCTTTCAACATACAAGGCTGTCTTTATTTTTTTCAATCACGATCTCCGAAGATGTCAAACAAACTTTGGAAACGTGGATTTTATCACGCGTTCAACACTTCAGGCTTATCATACGGAAACTGGCCATATCGTTGCACTTTCTTTACCGTTGTTTGTAGACCATCCCTCGCTTGGTAGTCTCTAAGCCAATTTACCTATCGACAAACTGATTAAGCCCTACTCTCTTTCATCTACAATATTGTGTAACAACTAAGCATGTGGATCTAAATTACAGATTTTGTAATTTTAAAATCAATAATATAAAAATAAATAAATAATGAGCATTATGCGTGCGTCATTTATTTTCTAACGTTATGTTTTTTAATTAAATATATATCATCCTTATATATATATATATATATATATATATATATATATATATATATTCTTTATTT